GATTTATCTGCTTATTTCAGTTGCAGTTTAGGTTGCTAAATAGAATTTGAACACATGCCTTGGGAACTCTGACCCAAATCCCCAAAATTTTTTCCACTGTATCTCCTGAAAAACCTGGTGCAAGGTGACAGAGAATCTCCCACTCACCTTTCAGCTTCATCAATGAAGCTGAAGCATCTATCCAAATCTAACAGCAGCAGTCTCAGACTCTCCAACTGGTACCTCCCACTGAACACACACCACAACACATACACTCATCACCTCCCAGGAAGGATTGGTATTACCTTCATGTTGTCCGTGAATAATATTCAAGGTCCCATCAGGGGCACCAGCATCCTGAAACAGCTTGGCAAGGAACATTAGTGCTCCTGGTACACGCTCAGATGGTTTCATCAAGAAGGTGTTTCCACAAACCATAGCCATGGGGAACATCCAAAGAGGAATCATGGCTGGGAAGTTGAATGGTGCAATCCCAGCACACACACCCAGAGGCAGGCGGTAGGTGTAAGTGTCCATGTCTTTAGTGATGGAGGGCATGGTCTCTCCAAGGATGAGGGATGTCACACTGCAAGCATGTTCAACCACCTCTGTGGCAGAAAGGGCAATATGCTGCTGGATGATCTGTTAACAATTAGTCCCCAAACTCCCTTTTCACTACTGCCTTGACCCACCTCTTTCTTCCAGCCTCTTCTCCCACAACTTAAAACTCATTGTGCTCCAGAAAACCCCTCTGCCAAGCATTGTGAACAAACTATGAATGGATTCTCTCTTGATCACACTACACAGGATTGTGATAGGAGCACAGACACAACAGCCCTGGTACAAAATGCACATGTATAGTATTACTGTACTACCTGGGACTCAACTTTAGATATCTGAGCACAGGCAAGAAGTTTTTTCAGTCGCTTTTAAATTTCAGTAATTTTCAGTCGCTCCTACAAAAAACTCTAACAACTTGGAAGTGATTTAAAGATAATCTATCTAAGGAAACTCTTCAGCTTGGAGTTACAATTTACACTTTTCTTTGAGTAGGGAGCTATAAAGGGATCAACATGTACAGGGCCATCAGTTGCTCAGGAGACCTCATCCCTTCCTGTGGGTTCTTAAACCCCCTTTTTTAACAGGAGGAGCCAGCAGCTTACGGAGGCCTCGGAAAACATCTCCCTCAGCATCAGCCAGGGTCTTCCCTTGCTCAAAGGTGATGAGTTTGGAAATTTCTTTCTGAAAATGGAAAACACAAAGTTTACAAATGTTAGAAAAGTGGTCACCCATGGAACAGAGTGCAAGGATAAGACAGAATTAACAGAGAGTTGAACACCACAGTGAATAAACTGAACAGAACACAGAAAAACCTATACTGACTGATTTGCTCCTTGCAGACAAGAAGCCAATAAGCCACATAGGTGATTTTTTTTAGAAAAAAATCATCCTAGGGTGGATTGTATTCTAATGCTTTCAGGTATTACACCACATTCACACCAAAAAAGCAATCAGGGAAACCCAAAAATATTGTAACATACTTGTCTTCATCAACTGGCACATGTTCCATCAAAGTTCCTTCTGTGGTCTCTTGGTAAAGGGACAAATTCAGAATAATATTCCCTAAGAAGCGCTGCCTCTCTGTTACCCTTTGATGGGCAGTGTCTCAGTTGGCTCCTTGATAACGGCAACACCTCATCAAGAACCCTGTAAACCCTGAGTCTCTCAATTTAGTTCCTAAAATCAGCTGCAATGCATTCAGCCATAGCCATCACACACAGCCATGGTGTCTCACCAGATTTTCTTTGATGAGTTGCTGATAACGCAGAAAGATTTGCTGGCGACTCAAAACAGATGTTTCTGACCAGTTCCAAAAAGCCTTTTTGCAAGAAGCCACAGCTGCCTCCATCTCACTGGCTGTGGCTTTTGGTACACGGCCAACCACCTGATTTGTGGCCTAAAAAAGAAAACAAATTGTATCAAAACTCAACTTTTCCCATCCGTCCCCACCAATCATTCAAGCGTCTTTCACCTAATATTCTTGTTCTACAAGGAGTTATACTTCTGAGGGCAGAACACAAAGGAGATGCCTTCCTCAACTACTCACAAAAGGCCTGGGCTACAATTGGAGTAGCTCTGAAAACCTGCACTCCAAATATCTTAAATTAGGCACTAAGAAAACTGCAAATGCAGTGCTGATTTCCCAGCTGGAGTTGAAGTGACTTGTCTATCTTGAAACTTCAAGTGAGTATAAGGCAAAAGTTTCTGTGGGCTGTGGTCTTTTCCCTCTCTATCATCTTGGTTCATCTGGCTGTCCCTCTTGCACATTAAATGAGGCAATATTCCTTTGGGAAAAGCAGTACATGACTGTGCAATTGCCACTGATGTTAGCTTAACTATACCCTAGGCCAAAGTACTATATTTACACACAACCTTAGTTCTACAGTATTTTAACTTCAAGCTTGTTGCCAGTTTAACCTCCTTCTAATGTTCTCTTAAAAATTAAGTCTGCTTTGACATGATAAAAAATTTCAGATGTATCACTAAGAGAGAAACTACTCCAAACAAGAGGAAGAAAATTGAACAAGAACACTGGTTGCTAAATAGAGGCCAAATGAGCTTTATGATCATAGCTTGCTGCTCTGATCATTTCCACAAAGCAAATGAAAATAAGAGCTTTACAGAGAAGATTTAGAAATTGCTGTTTAAATGCTTATTAGGGAGGCCAGAAGTATCAGAATTCTGAGTGCAGCCTCATTTCCATTTTGTCTTTGGTTGAGTATGTATGACAATACAAATGTCACTTATCTATTTTGCACTGTGTAGCATCCAACTTTTAACCTCTCTGTGATTATTACGGGTCACAGATAGAAGCTCTCTGAATGGAGAGGAGCTTCAACTGTTAGGATTTTTTACCTTTTTACTCTGAGAGTAATATCAGTCTCTATCAGGATTTCACATTTGGCTGGCATCAAATCACACCCAGTTGATTTCATATACAGAGTGAAAGACACCCTTCAGAAATCTGACACACTCATCACAAAGCCTTTCTATGAGAAAAAAAAAATATAGCCATACATATAAAAAAATATATCTCCTTTCTGGAGATCAGGGGCTTACTATGTGAAGGAGGTAAAGGAGAGAGTAACTTTTCTGAGACTGACATTCCATGTGAAAAGGAAACTGAGAAGCTGTAGTCTACCTTAAGGTCCATGTCTAAACCTTTCTCAAGAAATATATGTATGATTTTCTTCTGTCACACCCCTGAAGAGAGGCACAGACCTTTGTTTCACAGTGATCACTATTTATATAAGCTGAGACCATTTCACTTACCGGGTTGTGGATATCAATCCATTCAGTAGTTTTGGACTCAATAAACTTCCCATCAATGAAGAGTTTGGTTGTCGGCTGTGGAGGTCAAAACACTGGACAGTGAGTTATTTTTGTCTCAATGTGCCTAAATACCAGTGTGCCATATTACATGCAAGCCTTCATCATTTACTGCTGTGTGAACCACTAGAGAGTCTATATCCAGCCTCCACAGCAGGACCCAGCTAAGTGCTCTCTGCCCCCTTTTTCTCTCACTTTACACCAAAATGACCAAAAGTCTTTCTATAAGCAATTATAGAAAAGATACATTGCTCTGCTTAGGTTCAGAATTATTTAAATCTATTTAATCAAAACCTGAAAACCAGCAACTCATAAATGTTGAGAAGAAACAGTTAATAATTCACTTCATGGGAATTCTGTGAACTCAGTGCAGACTGTACCACTATTCCATGTGCCTTCTTCCATTAAGCCACTAAGCAGGTTCATCTCTCCAGTTCATAGCTTCCAGCAGAAAACTGGACTTTCCCCACCCCCTGCTTGGTCTTGCATCTAAGAGCAAGGAACCTGCATCTGTGGACTGTCCTGGCTGGCAGCACAGAAAACAGAACTTTCCCACTCAGATGAAGAGGAGGAACAAGGAATGTTTGGAATAAGGAGTTCAGGCAAACATTGAACAGAAGAGAAAGCAGAGGTAAAAGTTGTAATTAGCATTAGCTAGGCAACAAAACTGTTGCCTATGCAGGAAAACAAATTGTGACTGTATAAATTAAGAAACTAGAAAAGAGGAGTTGACAGTGGGAGGTAAGGAGAGATCTAGGAGAAAGCAAGAACCAGTTAATCATGACACAAATCCATAACTTGGGGAGAAGAGGTAGGAGAAAGGGGAAGTGGATCTTCTGTATGAAAAATAGAAATGGAACAGATCAACGGAACTGGGATATAAACCCAAATTATGCAAAAATTGAAGAAATTATAATGTGGAATTATGAAAGGGAGATAAGAACTTGGATGCTATCCAAAGTGTAATGGAGAGAAAGAGATCAGAGGAACAATCAGGAACATAAATGGTATTGGGTGGACAAGTAATAACAGTGAAAAGTGGATGAAAATGAAAAATTGAGCAGCAATGTTAATTGGAACAAATTGGGAAGGCTTGGAAATGAGAAAGCTAGGATCAGAAGTGTAAAAGAAGTCTGTTAATGGCCAAGCAAGACCTAATGATTTGGAAAGCAACACTAGGAGAGAATTAAAATGAAGAAGTTGCAGATGATTATGTAGCTGGAATCACAGCTAGGGAAGAGAGGCAGAACTTTGTGCCTGTGAAAACACAATCTCCTCTAGAATGTGGAAGGAAGCACAGGAAATCTGAGTCCCTTGACTGAGTTTCCTATCAGAAAAGCTGCTGGTCTAGTGCTGGTGTAAAGAATGACAAACTCCTATGGCTATCAATCGCTCCATTAGCCTCAGTGCCATGTATGGAGCTCCAAGCTACAGTGCTTTGTGACCCACACGGACTTCTGTGCAATGGAATTCATGTTTTTTTTCAAATTGCTTAAAAAGGGTATCTCAAAAATTGAACATGCAACAAAAAATATTTTAAGCAAGCCAGGAAATGCTGAATTAAGATTAATTGCACTTTTCCCATAAGATCGCCACCTTTTTTATGTAAAGAATACACCTGCTGTGGAAACATGGACGGTAGTAAAGCAGGCTATTTGTGGAATCCTGGTTTGGAGTTCGGAGTGTGTGCAGCCATAGACAGCGGAGGAAAAAAGGCAGTACAACAACTAAAGCTGTTCGATACCGTCCGAAGGAAACCAGATCCTCTCTCAGTAGCAAACAGATGCCATGAGGCCAGACCAGAGCCAGCAGGAGTAACGCGAGGTGACGGGCGGCCACCACTGAGCTCCGAAATCTGACAAATCGGACATGCAACTTTTTTCCGTCCCTCCCGTGGAGCACGGGGGCAGTGCCGATGTTTGTTTCACCGGACCCGCCCGGACCCACCGGGGCTCCAGCCGAGGCGGCGGGAACGGTTTTAGCAGAGCAGACCCGAGGGAAGTGTCCGGCGGGCTCCGGCGGCCGCGCCCGGGGCTCTCCCGCGCCTCCCTCCCCCGCCCACCGGCTCCGCTCCGCGGGACGGGCACTCACCACCGAGGAAGAGAAGGACGCGGCGACTGAGGTGATCCAGGGGGCACTGGCTCTCCGCGGCAGCTGGACCGGGGAGAAGCACAGACCACCTCAGGGCGGGTCAGGNGGGCGGGGTGGCGGTGCTGCCCGCAGAGGCGCTCACCGCCCGCCAACCTCTGCTTTCTCTTCCCAGTGCCCGGGGTTGCCGAGTTCGCCGCCTCCTTCAAAAGCGTGAGTGAGCGCTGCCTTGCCTTTCGCGTTTCCTCCTTCCGTGTGATGGTAGAGCTGCAGGTTCTCTTGCGGGCTTTACATCGTCTATGAACCGTATCTCAGTAATAACTCCAGTATATGCTACAATATAATTTTTTGTTTTAATGTATTTTTTATATACGTGTTTGCTTTTTATACCTTATGCAGTTTACTGTGTATGAGAATTATACTTTGGAAGAAACAAGGGGTTTTAAACTTAAGAAAATCATATTTTCTGTACTGATTTTTGGCTTTTGAATGGTAGTATGGCATTTTTAACTATAAAATGTCCGGGAAAAAAATAAGATTAAACATAAAAGCTCTGCAGAGCACACTGTTGTATTTTTGCTGTCAATGTAACTAGATTTCAATACAGATTATATTTCATTGTGTAATTCTAAAAATTGACTTTTCTGAATATGAACTTCCAATTTTTTTTTTCAAAACAGCCCATTACAAGTTCTCCTCCCAAGTGGATGGCTGAATTAGAAAATGACGATATTGATATGTTGAAGGGTGAGTATGAATATTGCGGGCAGGAGCTGAGGTTGCCAAAGCAGACGGGAATTCAGCAGCTACTTAAGAGGCTTAAAAGACTTGTTTTTTAAATGTTCTGGTGGTGGCCCTATGGCCTGAGGGTCTCTAGCCATCATATTTGCAGAATCTCCAGCTCAGAAGTCTCTTTATCTTGTTATTGATAGACATTTTCATTAAACCAGTTATTTCCAAGAGCCTCTCCAGATGTCAGTGGCAGGCTGATTTTTCAAAACGAGCAGTGTAACACTGTGCATATTTCAGTCACCTTGCTTAGCCTTTTTTATCACTGTATAAGTACAGCAAGTGTCTCCTGTGTTTTGAGAATTAGCATTTTGGAGGGGCTCAGCTCAGTTGCCGAGTGTAGCTTAGACATGTTGATTGACTTGTTCAGAGATGCACTACATGTGCATCTTCCCTCGCAGATCCAGGAGCTCTAATGCAATGGCGAGGCTGTACGGGCAGGTTACAGAAGGATTGGCTAGCATGTGCACTTGCTGCATGTTGCAGCTGTTAGTTTGCAGTAAACATCCTGCAGCATGCTCTGCCTCTCGCGAGTTACGGATGGTTATGTGCGATTGTGTCACGGCTACAAAGTGAAAGGGAGATGAATGAATTCTGACTTGCTCCAAGAAATGTGCTTCAACTCACATTATTAATGTAAAATAAGTCCATTCCCTTGCATACTTTTGTGTAGCTTGTTCATGTTACAGTGTGAACTTACAGGAACTTCCAAAGTATGGGTTACATTATTCTTTGCAATGGTGGCAGATTAAAGCATGAACTTGAGTCATGGCTTTCTCCTTATGATAAAATTAGGAGTGGAGTCAGGTTGAATTTTGAACATACACTGTTCACTGAAACAGATCCTGACAGCAGTATGGCTTGAAAGTGTTCTGTGAGGTACTAAACAGGTGAACTGCTACTGGAAGATGATAGACAATGTTAAAATTCACCTTTTTCTCTCTTCTTAAGAGTTGGGGAGCCTCACTACAGCTAACCTGATGGAAAAGGTTCGTGGCCTGCAGAACCTGGCTTATCAGCTGGGACTGGATGAATGTAAGTGCTGTACACAGATGTGACTGATTGCAATGCAATGCAAATCTTTCCACTAAAGCATGTGCTTGTATATTTGTAGCTGGGAAAGTGTGTTGGCAGATTTGGCAAGTGTTTGAGGTCAGTTAGTAACCTCCTGCAACAGGATGAGAGAATGAGCTTACATCTGACAACTTATAGCCTACCAGCATGGGTGAAAACACATATGTCAGCCTGGTGTTACCCAGTGACACAGAGATTTCTGTTCCTGAGTTAACATTGTCTTACATAAATCAGGTCACTGCTTAATTTCCCACTCAGATGCTAAAGGTCTTAGAATACTTGTGGCAGTTCTCCTCTCAAATTTCATGCACTGCCTCCACAGTGAAACTTGCACTTGTGTATAGGATTCTCCTTTCACTTTGTTGTTCATACTGTTTTCTGCTTCTGTAGTTACTTTTTTCTGCACTCATTTGTAATTGGGAAGTGATGTCATTGAGTAATAAAGATGACCGTCATCCCAATTGCAAATAGCCAACTCTTACTGTGTTTTTTTGAAGAAAGAGCTCCTTTCATTGTTTCATTTAGGATTCTTGTTAACAGATTGATCCAGCTGTGAGGATTTCAAGAGTATTGTGGAGTTGTTTTCAGTGCTACCCATAAATATTGACACATTTTTTTCTGTTTAGTTATGCTCTAACATAGACCTTGGTTGCAATTACTCTTGGACTACACAAAGCACCAAAAGTTTCAAGTCTTTCACCTTCCTTTCAGTGGGTAACACAGCTTAGTAATAATAAACCTTTAGAGTCTTTCTGACTTCAAACCTGGGATAGCCTAGTGCATTCTTAATAACATATCATTAAGCTTATTTTAACTTACTTCAAGTTTATTTTACTTTCGGTGCTAACATCTGTTCAGACTGTGTAAAGCATTTGGTGCAGTAGAAGTTGAAGTATAACAGTGTAAGACTGAGTCAAATGCAAAGATTGGTTGATGATTGGCTTTCTTAGTTAAGTTGTAGGCTCTGATGTCAAACAGTGTTGTTCTGCTAAATGAACTTTAGCAGAGCCTGAGTTGCAGTAAAGCTAGGGTTATGTTTATTTCCTTATTGCATGTGTAATATTTGTTGCATGTGTTTCCATTTATTTGTACTGAACACAAGTGCAGATATAAAGAAGACATAGTGAAAATATGTGAGGCTCAACAGTTATAACTTAAGTCTTGAATTTTCAAGCTTTATGAAAGGTTTCTGTGCTTGTAACTTCTTGTCACTAAAGGCAGTTTTCCTTTACACTGTAATCCATTGAGTACGTTGTGTGTGGTAATACAGATTTATCTTTGGAAATTTTTCCCCAAAAATTAGTTGTGGAATTTGAACAGAAGCTGCTCAGGACTTTTTCCTAATACTGTCCTTAGGTTATTTTCTCTTACAGACTTATCTAAGTGAAAGAACAAGAAAAAAATCCAAAATATCTGTTCATTAGAGTTAAGGGACTTGTGGTTTTGTCTCAGACGTATTGGATTTGGTTATACCTCGGTACTGAAGTTTACTAGTCTTCTTTGACTTGGCTGGTTCATTGAAACTGGCTGTCAAAAGCAGGACAAAACCCACTGCTGACCAGTCTCCTGTAGATGGCAGCATGAGGCCTCCCGTAGAAATCTTGCTTCTTTTTTATAAAACTCTGGCGTTTCAGTTTTGGTTTGAAGCTGTTCTTCTCACCATTATTTTTTGTGATTTTTTTATCTTCAGAATGTCTTTTTTAATGGTATTTTCAAGTGTTTAATCAACGGTGAGGTTGAGAGACAATTCTGCTTCAACGTATTATTATTGCTTTTCCTTCCAACTCTTCTCTTCTAGATCCCACCTCAAATCCTTCATATTTTCAAATACTTTTATTTTTCTCCAAGTTATTAATTACATACCTCGCAGGACCAGGGTGATTCCTGCAGCACTCCATGAAAAATGTATCTGTTCAATGATGTTACAATCATGTTTTGAGGTCTGTTATTGTTATACCCTGTTCACAACATCCTTTACATCAGTTTTGCATTAGAATTCATTATGCAAAGTGCTGTGGGACTGGGTACCTTTTGAAAAGTTTCTTTATTGAGGTACTATTGCAACATTAGCATTGAAATCTGAATAATTGGTTTGGCATGATGTAGATTGATAAATTAATAATTACTGAGTTACATGCCTTGTTTCTTGAATCCATATGAACTCTGTTACTATTTTGTCTATATAAGTGGGCTTTCTTGACAAGTTTGGAACAGATATATTGAATGTTTTGTCCATCTTGATGGGACATCTGAATGGCTTTCATCTAGGAACAGTTGAATGCTGTTACAATTCCACGTTTTTATTATCTACAATTCCAGCTGTCCCTAAGTTTTTGGCCATGGATTTCTCAGTTCCTCTTTTGGTTGTGTGCTTTTCACAGATTTCCTTTCTCTACAACTAACTTCCTCCCTACTTTCTCCCATAGGGTTACCTTTGCTTTCTGTAACCCTGGCTAGCTTGTTGACTGCTCCATGGCTTCTGTGAATCAATTTAATTTGTCAACATGTAATTTAGCTTTTCTTTGCAGCTTGTTGATCCACTTTCTTCCTGGCATGCTAGTAGGTGCATTCTTGTTCAGCCTATTCCTTGCAGAATATTAGCACAGGATTCACATCAAAGTATAGCTTTCCTTGAATGAAGCAGGATTTTTGTAACATGAAGCATGTTTTTTAAAAAATTGTTACCTTTCTCTTTAAGGACAGGCTTGGGTCTTTTTTGTGTATTTGTTCTTTGTAAAAAAGCGACTCTGAAGTTCTCTAGAAGCTTCCAGGCTCAGGTCTTTGTATCAAAAAAGTCTTTTAAAAATAAGTTATTTTTCAGCACTTCTTCTGAGGTTTCAGCTTGTGTTTCCTTGTCTACTTTTTAAGCTCTGTGAAATTCTACCTCATCATTTTGCTTATAGCTGCTTTTCTCTTTTTGCTTTGGTTCTTAGAATCACAGAAATATTTAGGCTGGAAAAGACTTCCAAGATCACGAAGTCCAACCTTCTCACATTATAGCTCCTATTTTCCTTCTGTTAATTTGTTATTTTATTGCTTAGAATAATCAAAACCATTTTTAGTATTAAAAGTATTGCTTTGTGTCAATTTTACTGTTCCTGTTAATGTGGGTATTTTAAGGGAGAAGAAATTTGGCTTAATGAATATACTGACTTTTAGTTGTTCATACGGTTAGGGTGACTTTGAGAGGCATAGTAGCTCTTCAGAATGTGAGCTGCAGCCACTCGGTGAATCTCATTTCTGAGTTTCGGGAAAAAAGGTATAAAAGCCTTGTTATGAACTTTTTTCATCCCCTCTGTGTCCTTTAATTTTTTCACTTTCAGGCTTTGCTTGGAGTGGAGTAGTGAGCACTGCAGAATGAGCAGACCCCAGCTAATGTGACAAGCAAGAGAGAAAAAGTTCTTTTTTGGGAACCCAGTCACAGACCCTGGCTCAATGTTTGTGGCCCACAAAGCAGCAAGTTTCAAAACACTTAATGTAAATAACTGCAAGTTTAGATTGAAGGAAGCTCTGTTTTTCTACTGTATGACCCATTGCACCTTTTGGAGCAATGTCAAAGTCAAAGAGTCAAAGCTGACTGTAGAAGAATTTTGAAGTCTTGATTTTATGAACTGGCAACTTTGAGAAGTCCATGCATTTAAAGATGAACCCTGTAATCCTTTGGGATATATGTATACAGAGAGATGTGTCTGAGAGCTACATACACAGGGAAAATGTTTTTCTTATAAAAAAACCTTAAAGTTTGTTTTTTTTTTCAAACTTCAGAAAGAAACTTACGTATAAAAGTAACAGATATGTAGGATGGGAGAATGGGAAAAGCATTCTGTCACTGAAGGAATGTGGTTGCCTAAGGACTTTTTGAAGGTCCTGTTTCCCTGTGAATCTCTGATACTTTTCAGATAACTATATGAACCACTATGCTGTACTGGTTCAGAAGTCCTGAAATGTAAGTATAGATAGCTGATATCACAGCCATGTTTATAAAATCTCACTGATGCCAGAATGATTATCTGGCCACTATGGTATCACAGTAGAGCTCCAGTGACACGGTCATTGTGACACTTACTGCAAAGTCTGTTCTTCTTAAGCCCCAATATCTTTGTGAAGGTAATGCTGCCTTGGTGCTGTGTGTGCCTTAAATATTAGAAAATGTAGGATTACTGGCTAAACAGGTATGAATATGATTTATAATTTCCCTGCCTGTGATTTTTGATGGTCTAATCTCTTGTGTTAGATTAAACTTTTATTTGGAGTTGAAGGTAATTGTGATGTTCCTGCTGTAAAATTAGGAATGGCCGTATTATCCCATGTCAAATCCTCATTCTCTTTCAAGAGCAATGAGACAGTTCCCAAATATGCTCAACCAAGTCTCCTTATTTCTAGTTTTCTGTGGTTTTGTGCACCCCAGCTTTCACTAGGCTCTAGCAACTTTGCTCCTATTTTCTTTGTAACTGATTTATTTTCCATATATGTTCAAGCAAATTTTTAAAAAAAAGGGTGCTGTGGAAGAGCTGTTTGATTAAGGGCCCACAGATTAGACCTGGATGACTTGGGAGGTTGCAGGTGAACAGTAGAAGGTTGGTCATCTTTTAGCACCAGACTGACAGAGGAAAAGCCAGTCCAAGTTTAATCAGTCAGTGATCATTTTCTTTGATATGAAGAATAAGTAAATGACTAAGGTTTTTTGATCTGGAGAGAAACAGCTCATGTAGTATGTGAAAAAGGTCTGTAAAACAATAATGCAGAGAAAGTGTGAATAGAGAATATCTCCTCACTGTCTCTCATAGTATGGGAACCAGAGAGAATAAAAGAGTCTATGGGACAGACATGAGGAGATACTTGTGTTGTGCATTGAAGTCAGAGCACATCACCACTGGAGCTTTTGGGTATGGAATTTCTCACTCAGTAATGAGAAAAATGATTGATAAATCCTTCCAGAGTGTCTGCTGAGAAGTCTCCAGTGGCTTGGACATCTTGGAGATGCAGAAAGCAGAGAGAGAGAGGTTACTATGCAGGTCCAGCTATGTGCCTCCCTGCACTTACAGTCTTCTATAGGTGTTTGCCATTGGCATGTCAGTCAGGGTGGTGGGTTGGAAGGACCTTTTGTTTGACAATAGATATTATTTATTTTAGTAATAGGCTAAACCACCTGGTAGTTAAGCAGTGACTACTAGAAATCTCTGAGGTTCCCTGTAATGGAGTGATTCTTCCAGAGGCAGCAAGAGATGGATGGGCACGTGAATGAGGAACAACTACCTTGCTCTCAAGTTAAGCTGTCCTTGGTTTTGAATTGTAGTCCTCTGCAACCTCAGCAGCCTCTGAAATTTCTGGAAAATCATAAAGGAGTCCTTCTGAATTCCAGGCTCTGTACAGATCACCACATTTCATTCGATTGGTAGTCTTCAGTTTTTTATTTTTCATTTCAGATAAATGCTGTCTGTTATGTTCTCTTGCCTGCAAGTTCAGCTTTTTTTTGAGGATTGGAGGGGCAGAGCAGTTCATCAGGATTTAACTGTAGCATTTTTTGAACATACACCCTTAGTTCTGCCAGTGATCCTTGCAAGCTACTCTTGTCATTGAGTTTTGGATGGTGTGTTGTTTTTTTTACCTCATCTTGATGCTGATCATAGGTAGGATATGTTTAAATAGGGGTCCATCTTTGGTGGGCTGAACTTGTTAAACTATAAGTCAGGGTATGACAGCTGCCACATTTGAACTTTGTATACACAAAGTTGCTGAAATAGAATCAAAATAAGGAAATGAGGGGAGATAATGTATCCTTTTACTGAAATATCTTTTTCCTTTTGTGTAATGGATTGGCTTGCCTAGGAGTGTCTCCATGTAGGTGAACATGCAGTCTTTTTAGAGTCCACCCAAAACACCCGGCCTTTGTACCCAAACAGGCTTCTATCAATGATGTAATTGATCAGATAATAATGTTTTCTGATCATAACCACTTTTTCTTTAGTTCTGGCAATAGAGAGACTTTTTAAGCTCAGAAGCCTTACTTTACATTTGTGAACATGGCCTCACTTCTGCATTACAGTTGCCTGGTGCTCTTTCTGGTGTGTATGTACAGTTGTTTGCAACAAAATGTTTCAGATCCTTACATTTGTAGGAAACCAGCCTATGAACAGATGTGTAAGTAAAGGGTGCTTTAATATGATATCTTCTGAAATCTGTTGTTGGTCCATTTTAGTAAAAGCTGGATGTCCACTCTGTAGTCTGGAGAGTTGCATGGGAAAGTGAATTGGACTTCTGTGGTTTCTTACTAGCCAAAATGAGGTTTTGGAACTGTGTAGAAGAGCAGACTGTTTCTATAACATGAACTCTTTCCCTATTTCCTTGGGGAAATAAGACTATCTAAAGTGTGGTGGTGGAGCTGGAGAACTGCCTTTAGGAGAGGCAAGGAGGAAATAAAGTGGAAGAGTAGCATGTGATTTGGATATACATCCCACAGCAGTCTCAGTGCCAGTAATTATGAAGATATAGCAGTATTTTTACCATCTTGACTGCTGACAAAAGAGCAAGGAGGATGCTCACTTTTTGTTTGTTAGAAGCTGGCATCTCCAGAAGTACTTGTGCCTGTATTGATCTGAAACATGATGGAAGAAAATATGTTTAGGATCGCCTACATTGTTCTGAATCTGTTGAGCTTGGAAGAGAACAATGTCTGCCAAGTCTAATGCTTGTTATGTTCTTAAACAAAATACACAGTTTTTCTTGCAAGGTGAACTGTCCTGCATAAGAAGAAGCAGTTTGAGGTGTGTGTGTACTTCAGTTATTTCCACTCTGTTTAGAATTTTCTTTGTAGCAACTATTTTCTTGGTTAGTTTTCTGCATTTCCTGCCTTGCTCAGTGGATCTTCATCATTTCAGTTTGTTTTGCTTGAAAGCATCTTTCTCACTTATTTTGTTATTTAGTACTGTGTTTGGCAAGGACTTTATGTGAAATAGTATACTTCATGTGCTTCTAAGCTTGAAGGCAGAGTTTTACATCTGGACAACAAAATTATGCTCTTTGGACGCTGGATTTCTGTAATACACAGATTGAAGAGTTACTTAGCAGAGTTAGTAGACTTCTCCCATAGAATGTGTCACATTTTGGTTGGTTCATTTTTGGGTTAGGAGATGATCGCTGAGAATTTCAGGAGCTCACAATCAGCTGAAACAGCTGGTTTAGTTTTTCACAGGAGAAAAAATATGGAGGCTGTTCTCAGTTTACATTCATATAATTTTTCATAGTAATTCTTGGGCCTTATTTGATTGTTTCAGAGAGATGAAAAGAACACTTAAATTGTCTGTTAAGATGTTTATGTGGCTTGTCACCACAATATCCAAGGTGCTGTGATTTCCATGTGAAACCTTGGTCTTTCTCCCGATTCTTTTTACATTCTCCTCCCACGCTGTAGATCTATAGCTTCATTTTAATGCACATTTCTGTGGTAAGAGATACTCTGCATCTGCAGAGGCACAAGGAAATGACCTTTCCTTATACTGTTTGCTGGGTGGCTTATTTACAGGCAGGATTTTTCTGGGGCACCTCCTGTTGGAAGAGCAAGACATCAGAATGCCAGCTTGAAATTGCCATTCATATATGATCTGTGAATGGGCTAATTCTGACATGTAGGTAGTTAAGAAATGATTACAGTCAGAAGAGTCATGACCTCAACTTTTCATCATCTCCATTGGCTTCTACCCCAGTTTGGAAGTGAAGGAGGCATAGGAAGTTTTAATTGTACCTGTGTGATTTATCCTCAGTCAGCTCTTTAATTTCTTCTGGCTGTCTGAGGTTTCCGACACGCTGTAAATTTCTCCAACTTTTTCATTATCTGCAATTTCTTTATGACTCATGAATCGGAGTGGAGAGAGAGTGTGGATTTACAGCAGAGATAAACATGTCCATAAAGTCTGTATCTGTGTCAGTAATTGTACTGCTGTCAGTGACTGTCCTGTTTTACAGGTCTCTCTTGGGAGAGGAACATGCTTTGCTACCAGTGTCAGAGAAGTGTTTGCTTTGATTTGCATTAACGTACCAGGAGATTAGGTTGCAATGGTGAGGATGGAAATTGAGTTTGGACCATGGCTGCTATTGTTTGGTTTTTTTTAATAAATGGGTGTATATTTGAGTTGCCCTCTGTATGCAAAAATAAAAAAAAAAAAAAAAAAAAAAAAAATGCAGGTTTAGGTTATTCTTAAATATAAGAAGACAGTATACTGATATCAGATGTGAGTCTACCCATATGCATAAATAGTGCATTCTTACCATAAAACAAATGCTGTGTCTAGGTAACTGTCATATGTGGAAAGAAATACTGCATGGATCCTTAGGGGGTTCTCTATCTCCTGGTAAAGTAGAATGAATATTTCTGTAAGTTTCAAGAAATTTCTGCATCTTTGCCTTCTTTCCCTTCCCTTACTCTTAACGGAAAGATGCTATGGTGGACATTGATGGAGGTTGTAATCTCCAGGCATTGATAATTCTGATTGCTGCAGAAGGAAGTGTATATTTGTGAAGTTTGAGAAAAGGAAAAAAAATCTGTAAAACTCTCCTGTATGTGTTAGAAATTCAAACTTCTACAGTTTCTCTGTACTTGCATCTTCTGTTTGTTGCCTATTGTAGATACTTGTCTGTGTGGCATCTTCTTTTGTTAGATTGTTAGATTTTGTTAAATTTATCTGGGTTGGATTTTTTTGTCTGTGACCTAATACTTTTTTTCATAATAAGGTAATTATTTTACCACAGGATTATTTTCAAATATCCAAAGTGACTGTAAAACCCCAAATTTCCATTATGTGAGGTATTCACTGAGACTCCCAAATGCAGCTGATTGCATTTTTCTAATTCTGATGGACATCTCTTACCAAAGGGAGATTATCATAAACAATGTAAACTCTGTGATTGCATAGATAGCTTTAAAATGTGTTAGAAATGCTAAAATGACACCTGCCTTTGCATGGTTAATTCTGGAGCCTGAAGTTGGAAGTACAGTGGAGAGTTTTTCCAGTGGTAGACAGTGTCCCATCTTGCTCTGATACTGAGTTTCTAAAGCTATATATATAATGATCACATGCTGAGTGGCCCAAAAGCTGGCAGATAACTGCTGTTGGAGTGAGTGATGCTCAATGCAACAGCTAAATTCTAAATAAAAGCTGAGATGGTGAGATGCTTTTTACCTGATCTTTATTGAAATGTGGGGTTTTTTTTTCCTTTTCTCTTCTCCTCCTCCTCACCTTTTCTACATGCCCATACCTAGTTTGTGAATCTGATTTTGTTAAAAAAACAGTTACCTCTGAAAGGTACTTCAGCCAGGATGTATTACTTGCTTTATTAAAATAAGACAAATACAGTATTTGCCTCCACTGAAAGAAACCCAGGACAACAAATACCAACAAACAAGAACCACAAAATAAAAACACCAAACCAATAAAAAACCTCCACAAAACATTCCTTATACCCTAGTATTCATGTCTAAGAATGTCTTTCATGAAAGTCCCCTTTGTCTCTTACAGGTTGTTCAGTAGTAGGAAGAAACTCTGCAGTGTTTTGATCCTTTCTGGAAAAGATTTTTTAAATTTATGTTGACAGAGTGAAGGTTTATCTAGATACTTCCTGTGGTTAAGAAAAGGGAGCCTTTTTTGTCTTAGTGAGGAAGAAGAGAAAGAAATCTGATTAATCTGAAAACTAACTGACCAAACTGTTCTGAAGACTGTGAAATCAGTCACCTGATTCATCACCATTAACTTCTGCAGGATTTTTTATGCTACTCAAAGCACCAATTTGTGCTTTGCGAAGACATCTGGAATATCAGCACTGGTCAGTCGAGTAGTGGAACACATTGTGCAGTCACTGGTTCTGCATTCTCTGTTCCTGGAGTTTTGCCAGACCTGACTCAATAAAGCTTTAAGCAGCATGATCTAACCTCATAATTGACCCTACTTTGACTAGGAAACCTCCTGCACCCTTATAACCCCGATCATGCAGTGACTCCATCTTTCTGTGACCTAAAATCTCCTTCTAGACCTAGAAGTGCATTTGAAGCCCAATTCCCCATAGCTCCAAATGGTTCAGCTTATGAGCTTTAAGCCAGGTGCAACTTTATGATCTGCCTCTATGGGAACAGCTGATTAGGAGCAGGAAACCTAAGAATTCATGTATCACAGTGATGGCTTTTAGGATTTGAGGGAATGATGAATGGACTTTCAAATACTTCCATAGACAGAGCTGATTACAAGTCTGTGTCGTGTGAGCTGCAGAGCCCATTTTTGTGTGTAAGGAGATACAGTCCATTCAGAACAATTCTTTAAGTTGAGCAGGAGAATGGTCCTCAGCATACACAGAGGTTCTTGTGTGTCTTGGCTGAAATGAATAGTGAAACCACCTCTGTCTGTCTAGACAAGCAGAGGGTCAATGGGCCTTGACTGAAGAGCTTTTAGCCACAAAAGTAAAGGAATGGGCTGTCACATTAAAGCATTTCTACCTGCCACATGCTTGGCACAGAAAGAAACATGACTACAAACAAAATGTTCTTACATTATACTGTCAGAAGCCTATTTTTTGCTACTCTCATTCTGACAGGATAACTTGTAGACTACTGTCAGTGGAGAAATTGAGTATGGGGAAAAGTTTGATCAAGCATAAGGTTATGTGCATTTTTCCATTATCATTTAAAAACACAAAAATGCCAAACAAATCTCAGGAGTCATTCTAGCAGGGACTCTCAAACCCTTACAACTGGTCTGTATTTATTATTTAAACATCTTCTGCTGTCTATGCATTTATTAAGTTAAAACTTTCCACTTCTTCTGTGTTACTAGGACATTTACTCTGTATTTACAGATACTGGAAAGATTATCCCTGTGCCATCTCTCGAAATGTTTTCCTGTAAATTTTGGCTTCTGGCAGGAGTGAAGAGAGAATTTTCTTCCACAGTATGGGTTGCTGGACCTATTTGTAGAGCAGCAGCTGATCCCAGTGAAAAATCTCACTAGAGTGTGACTTTGGAGACTTGGCTCAGTTTCTGGTACTACCACTCTTCTGCTTGGTTCATTTATGTGCCTTCTTAAATGCCTCTTCCTATCTCCCCAGCTGTAAGGTGGGGTTCATGTTATCTTGTTTTTGCAAGGCATTGAAAAAATGGTGAATTTTAAAGAACAGCATATAAAGCATTTATTGTTAAGTATCCTTTGCTGTGTGCTGCTATTTGTCGTTTCCCCCTGCTTGCTGCTATTATATGCCACAGGAAGGTATCATTAGAATATTGTGTCAGTCATCAGAAGCAAAATGAGAATATGAAAATAAAACAGGTCCCAGTGTCAAGTGCTCTTCAGCCTGGGACCCAAGCAGGGTAACTAAGAAAACTGAGGCTATTCTCAGCCATTTGAACACATTTTATATATATAAAAGGATTTCTATTTGCAAGCAGCATAAAGGTTAGAAATTTTTAGTCTGTATCTGTTCTAATGCCAGAAATTATTTACCTGTTTAATTTGCTGTATTCCTCTTCTGTTTCCTCCATTTTGGATCCAGTGATAATGCATACAAAGCTGTGTGAAAATTTGCCAAGTATTTTGTCACTTTATTGAGTGGTTTCAGTCGTCCTGAGCATGAAGTCTTCTGTGAGATCAATAGTGAACTTGCCACCTTTCCTCTTGCATCTGCAGGAGATGCAGCTTTGAACATCCCATCTTTACAATGTTGCTGGACCAAGTCTGATAGTATCTGACTCTTATTGCTTCATTAACTTGTGAGCATTAGAACAAGATAAAAATGCCCTAAAGCCTCTTATCTGATGATTGTTGTAACCTTCTGAGTGCCATTAGTTTAAGTTTGCAATCAAATGCTTCCCCTGAGTATAAGGAGCACTGATTAAACCTGAAGTGTCCCCAGAGGCTTTTACAGCTGTCATGGGGGCAGTGGCTGCCCCTGTCCAAAAGGAAGAGGGGGGCTGGAGGTCCCAGTGGGGAGGCCCACTCTGCAGACATCCACGTGGCTGCCCCAGCTGTTCTGCTTTGCCTAATGAATTGTTTTACAAGGAGAGGCTGGATATTGTCATCACAAGCTGCCTTCCCCAGGGACTGAAGCCAGCCTGATAATGACTAATGTTAGTGATAGTAATTGAAGTGTGATGGCTCTCCAGGGATTTTCACACATGCAGAGCTGTCAGGCACTTGTGGCTAGTACAGTCCCATGAATACCTCAGAAATGCTTTTTTAATTGCTTGACTTTTATAACTAGTTCCCATACATATCCTGCTGAAATACACATTTTAAGGGGATAAGGAAAAGGAGCTGAGGACTCTGCTATGACCCTTGGTGTACACATCTGGTTACTGTCCTGACATGTTTCTAATGAGGATGGCTGAGTGTTCTTGCTCCCTTAGCCTTGGTGTGGACCTGCTCGGTGTGTGCACAGGCATGTACAACAGATTACCCCTGAATGTACCTTTTCTTTCATGTCTAAGCCTTGTCTTCTTGATGCACAAGATTGTACTTGATTCTTAAAGAAGACTAGATTCTTAAAGAACCTTATTGAAGAATGTAAAAGGATTTCTGCTGTTAATAGCATGGAAGCAATGACAGCTATTTGCATTTTCTTAGGCATCACTGAAAACTGAATGTAAGATAGAATAAAAATCTTGTAAAAACATAGCATATCTCAATATGTGTCCCAATATGACTGGAGTTTATGGCCATGAGATTTTGGGAGTCTAGGGCAGAGGAGTAACCAATTTATGTAAAACTGAGTGATTTTGTTCTGAAAATATTCTCATTTAGAAGTGCATTGTTGGATATAGCAGTGGGCCTGAGATAAAAGTAGTCCCAATGGGGTACTGTACTCCTGACTTACAGGATCCTAACATGAATTTGTCAGGGTGCTGAGATATTTTGAATTGCCTCTGTCTCTACAGGGAGGTTTTGCTGTGGCATTTTGAGTTCTAGCTGGAGATCAAAAAAGGAAGCTTGATGCTGTTGCCAGCAGAGTAGACATACTACCTCTTCTTATCATATTCATTGCAAGTTTGTTCTTCACCTCCCCCCTCCAGTGAAGTGTTGGCTCTTAGAAATTTATTTTGGTAATAAAACATTACTTTATACTTGCCCATGAAAGGATGTTTGAAGGCTGTTTGTGGATTCTTTAAAGTGTCCAAGAGATTGTTGTTCCTTAAGCACACTGCAAACTCATATTATAATTAAGTTTGATGGATTAACATGCAGAAAGTTAAGCTCATAACTTTAAGTGGTTAACTTATGCTCTTAAATTGTGGACCCAAACCTGTGGTTGGTGTGTTGTAATTCAGTTGTCAGTCCCAAAATTGTATGCTTCAATGGGTTTTGGTTCTGAGAAAATGGGTGAATTTATTCTTGCTGGTTTTGGCCACAATGCGGAGATAATAAAGTTGTGCTTACTGCTTTTCACAGTTTTAAGTCTTGACAGTAAAGCTAAAGGATATAGTTGTTGGTTTTTTTTTTTTTTGCAATTTATCTTACAACTTGTACTTTAATTGAGAGGAGGTGGGAGTAGGAAACTCCATGCTGTGTAAGAAGAGATTTTCAGTTTGTAATTTAATTGTACTGATTGCTTGTTGCAGCACAAGCACGAGAGTAGAGGTAATTGAAAGACATCTAATAACTGATTAAGTAGATTTCATTTATGTGTTGTTTTGAGCACTGTTTTAGTGGAAGCTTGTAAACTTTATTATAATAAGTTCAGCAGAATATATTTTCTGTGTAGAAATTATTTTACATTGATAGGGCATTTTCATATGGAGAGCTTTTAGTGCTATGAGGAATATATCCACATATTGTTTGAACTACACAAAGTGACAATTATTTTGGTGTCACTATGCACTGTCATGTATAATTTTGCTTTCCAAGTATTTGTTGATTTTTTTACAAACATATGTATTATAAATAAGTATCTCTAAGTCCTTGCACAACTTCTGCCAAACCTATTAAATCCATTAAAAACTATTAAACCTGTTAAAGCTTTCCAGGTTTATTGTCAATACAATAAATATTAGCTCCCATATTCTTCAAATTAAAATGTGACTTCTGTTTTCTCACTGTAGGGTTTGATCTCTGTTCTACTGAGCCAGGTAAAATTGGGTTCAGTCAGTAGCTGGAGGGGAACCTGTGAAGAGCCCAGGTGTTGCATTAAGCAGCATTGGTGCCCTGCTCCTGGAGGGTTGCTGAACTGTTATCCCATGGTAGCTCTAGAGGGCTCTCTGCTGTTGGAAATGTCACATTTCTAATGACTTATATGACAAAGGTCTTAATAACCTGTTGGTCCTTAAGGAACTCATAACACTTTTTTTGCAAATGCTAACCTCATTGTCATCAGCAAAATATAGCATATGCAATTAGAATCTAATTTTCTCCAGTGTCAATTAAAGGGTCTCATTTTTATTCTGAACTGTGTTGTACTCTGCCTGGAAATGTCTGTCACTTAAGTTACAGCATTTGAGTAGTGTAGAAAGTAATTTTTGTGTGTGCAGTTTGTTCCTTGTTAAGTCAGTAAGAGTATGATGTTGCTGGCACTGACTGTGAAAGAAAAAGAGAAGATAATCATCCCAGGCTTTATTGTAACCATGCAGTTTGTTATTGTAGTAGCCTTAAAAGTATATGGGCATTGTTTCAGGAGAATTGGAAATAAACATATAAGATGGAGGACAAGATAGGACAGGATGAAAGTATGAAGAGTAATTTTCAGCAGAATAATACGTGCTTGTCTTCAAGTTCTAGCAATGCATTAGAAAGGAAGGAGTACCTTCTGGTTTTATTTCTGGTTTTATTTGGAAACCCTTTGGGTGTTATACAGGGATATGAGTTCCAGTTCAGCTTGATGGGTGGGCAGTGGCATGCTGAGTTTGACTGGTTATCTATATCAGACTTGGTTGCATTAAAATGGACTTTACACTGGCTAGTTGGAAAATGAGTCAAGCAGTTAAAGATGGTAGTGTTACGTTCTCTGTTGTAATAATAAATTCTATTCTCTTATGGTTTTGTAGGGTTTTTTTCTGTATATGTGCCAGTGCTACATTGCTTTCATTCAGTTGTGTTTTGAAAGCAGTGAAAACTAGAAATAACTAGGAGTAACATCTGTGAAAACTACAAGACTAGAAATGTTTGTATAGTCTAGAAATAACTACAACATGATTGCAGCTTACATTTTGCAGCACCTTTGGGCATCATGGGTTGGATGTCTGTTATGGACACTGCTGCAGTGTTCTGCATGATAAGAAGCTTACAAATTGAGGGAATGAAAATAATGTTGAGTTTGATGCTCAGTGAGCTTCCCAGTGAAAATGCACGAGTGTCCTATTTTACCTACTCTGTAGTGAGTTCTGTCTTGTGTATTCTGCAAAGCCCTTGTTTAAAATCACTCTTGTGAATTTACTGCTGAAGGGGGAAAAGGTGAAGCATGGATAGACTCAGGAAAGGAAGAGGTTGTTTTATTTTCATTGGTAGTATTTGCAGTTCCCCAAGCAATGAGGGCTGCAGAAACTGGCTGTTGAGAGCCACAACTTTGATTAGATGTTTGGGTCTGTTATAAAATCCTGTGGTGTCTGCCTCTTGAAAATCCAGCGTGGAAATCCTCCTTATACAGTGGAGGAAAGGTATTGAGAAATCTTTTATGTAAATTCTGTGTCTTTTTCCTTCTTCTAGGAACTACATTTCATAGTAGGAAAAATACACTGAATCACCCTTATTTGCAGAAAACACAAACTAATAACAATTAAGCTATTGATTACTTTTTCAGGCAGTAAAAAGATGCTTCTTCTAGGATTCATTTCCCCATGCCATCCTTGACTTCAAACACCTGCAACATACAAGTTCTGGTTGTGATGTATTCAAACACTCAGTCCTCCCAGCATTTTGGATGTATTTATTGCATGTACTACATCTTTTCATGTCTAACCACTGTAATTTGAGAGGAAATAATATATTTTGTATTTAAGGTTATGGGTTGTACTAGTTCAGTTGAAGTGGGGGTTTTATATGTTTTAATGCACTGTTGCA